GAAGTGTTCAAAACATTTTTTAAAAAAATATGTTACTCTGAAAAACTTCATTCGTATTAATGACAACTCCATGCAAATATTTTTTGGGGGTGGGAAAAAAGCAGAAACAGGTGGGCTAACAAAAGTCATACTAGATAATGTTTACAATATGAATACTGAATTCCATAGCCAGTGCTCAGTATACCGCACCACTTCTAAGCTTAATATTAAATATTGGTATATATTTGCCATTATTCAGCTACCTGAATCATTTTTCCTTATGATATATGCCGAGTCATACATGAAATGTTTGAGCTACACAAAAGCACTCTCACCATACTCCTGCCCTTTTTAAAACTCTTCCAAGCTTTGTTATTATCTGCTTTTAAAATGTCATTTCCCTTGGTCATTCCTATGGGTGAACAATTCTCCCTACTAATCTGGATTTCTCCCAGAAGTATGTTGGGCCCCATCAACTTTCAGCAGTTCGTGGTGTGACCACCTGAATATGTATAGGATAGGAGGTGAGTCAAGGATGGGGTCTTCCAGGATTATCTTATCTTGGACCAATCCTTGTTTTTCCAGGACCTTCTTTATATCATCTGAACTGTGCAGATTCTATCCATAAAGCCAAGGTCAGTCCTAGACCCTGGTCATCACTTGCGTAGCTGAGGACCAATGGAAAACAAGGGCTACTACAGCCCACTTGTAACTGAACTCTGGAGTCGATGTTTCAGGGTTACACCAAGTTGAACCTGAAAAGCTAATATTGTCACTTTGCCCTGGTATTGGAAGCAACAGTCATCATGGAGTTGAAAATTAAATGTCCTGGGTCAGTTAAAATGTAACTCTTAAGCTGCCTCTGGACCACCGGACTGAGAATAAACTATTGCCCAAGCCACTCCAAACACACCTAACTAGCCAAAGATGGAGGTGTTGACGAAAAGGAAGAGATCATTATCTCCTGACCTTTAGCTTTTTAAAGTTTTTGTGTATTTTACTCTCTAGAATCCACAGCTTTGAGCTGGAGAAAATAAGCTGATTCAGCCTAAGATGGGTTTACTTGGGGGTGCTAATAGAACCAGGAAAAAACTCACAGCCCCAAAGACAAGTTGTTACACAACCTACTGAACGTAAGCCATGGCTAGGAGGCATGATCCTTTATACATAAACTGCTCAAATACACTGTGCACACGAGATAGGAAAGAGACACAAATAAAGGTGAATTCTTTATATGAACTTTGAAGCACTATCCACACAATTTTTCCCAGCATCATGGACTTTAACAAAGAGTCGGCTCTTCACATCAGGTGGCTAATCTATTGGAGATTCAGCTTAACATTATATCAACTTAGTAATATATTACATATTATACTAATATTAGTTTATCATTATATTAGCCTATTAGCTACTAATATATAATTTTGGCATGTTTATGTTAGCTTAATATATTAAATATATACAATTTATATACATACATATTTATATATATATACAATTTATATTATATATATATAATTTATATTATATATACATAATTTTGTATTATATTAATACAAAAGTATATTAATATAGAGAAGATGTGGCAAATTAGCAGACCCATCTAGTCTATGATACTGGTTGTGGTTATAAAATTTCAAAATAATAAATGTAAAAATTCAAAAGTTTATTGACTAGTTTTGGCCACAAGACTAAAAAGTCACTCTGCTACGAGCTCCTGAAGTTCAGTAAATTTATGGCAACACCTAGCTTTGGGTTATGGAGAAAACAGCTCTCCATCATGTCATTGTCAAACGACCTCTCAGCTGATTCCTGAGTTTTGCCTCACCTAGACAGAAATGATTCCATCTAGCTCTTTAAAATATCTTAACGATTATTGTTTTTTTTGCAGAGGCAGATACTAGCTAAGCAGCCTTATGAAAGGGACTAGAAAAGGAAGTATCCCACTGACAAAAACTGACCATGATCATGCAAGATCCAACAGGTCAGGTGAGACGTGTTGAAAAACCCTTTCTCCCTCAAGGCGAGGCGCTCACCTTGGAACAGCTTTCTAGTTTGGTTGTCCTGGAAACGTGATGAAGATGTATGGTCCTCTGTGGGACCACTGGGCCTGCTTCCAGTAGAAAGTCATGAGTGGTACCCAACTCCTGGCCTGGGAGGGCTATGACTGAATGTAAACATCTGCTGGGGGCCACAGCTCAGGGTCCCTGAGTGCAGTGGACCTCTTGTTTCCGGGCCTTGACCCTAGCTGGGACCCAGGCTGTGTACAGGGGGCTGTTACGGGATGGCTTCTAAGCTCAGCAGCAACTGCACCCATCTGTGTCATCTGTGGGGACCACTGCAAGAATTTCCACCAAAGAATGATGCTTCAAGCTGACCCGTGGCATGGCGTCCATGGGGTCTTGCTTGTCCCGTATTCTTCAGAGTAAACTGGTATTCAGGCATGGCCTACCCAGGTCTTGGGAGTTCAAATGTGTCGTTAAACCCAACGCTAACTATGATGAGTGTTGCCTGTGCTCTTGGTAGTCTTCAGAGACAATACACCCCCCACATTTAGCACTAAACAGACAACAGACATGGCTCCATAGGGGATCAGGACCAACCAAGATGAACCTTTAAGAAATGATTCGAGACTCTTAAAGATATTGTGAGGTATAGGGCTGAGAATAGCAAACATAAAAGAACAGAGAGTATTCATTCATTAAGGAATTGAACTTAATGAATTACTCAGTATGTGCCATGGGTACAGAGGGAAGGAAATTCACCCGGGAACCAGACTTTGGTTTCACTCTGACTATGTGGTTGTGGCTGTCAGTATCTGTATTTAGTGTGTCAGACCTTTTTTTTGGACATTTATTTTTGTTTCAAGCTCCTATGTTCATCTGAATCCCTTGTTGCTTCCCATCATCCCCTGAGCAAACTCCTCTCAGTTAACCCCAGAAAATAAAATGCTATAATCTTTGACTCTGTAATTCTATTCTGGCAATCTAATCTCAGGAAAAATCCTAAATACAGGAAAAATCCTTCTGTAAAAATGTAAAGTGCTGACTTATGTACTTCACACAAAAAAATTTTAAAACATCAAATGTCTATAGGTCACAGTTTACTAGGGTCCAGCTATTTAGAATACTGTTGAAACAGTAAAATAATGTTAATTTAAAAACATTATATAATAGGCAGATTGAAAATTCCATGTTAAGAAAGTACGATAAAAATTATACAGACAAAATTATTTAAATAATGTTTTTTAAAAGACCTATGCATAGGAAAAGAAATGGAAGCCACAGAATCATTAAGGGGCAGCTGCAAGTGGAACTGAAATGTCTTTTTTCCTCCTATTTTCTAAACATTCTCAATTGAACATGTTTTACAATGGCAACATTGATTTCAGTTGCATTTTCAATGCATTTGTTACTCAAAATCACAATTTTATAGTCAATCTTGTGCTCACTATCCTTTCAGGTATACTATACTAATATTAGGCTTGAAGAAATCATGTCAAATCAGGATGATTATGTTATTCTGAAAATGTAAACTGTTACAAGAGAAATAATCTGGCAGACGCAAGATTTAAATATCTTTTATTTAATTATCAGAGCCTAATACTCTTTCTGACACATACTGCATACTTAGGTAATATTTGTTGTGCTTAGAAAACCTAAAATTCCTATTTAGCTTTTCAGGGACTTAAAGGAAGACAAAAGGAAGATCTTCTGACCAAATCATTCCTGTTAACAGGAACATTTCATACCAATATACTTACCATAATAAGGTCTGGGGAAAAAGTAACACTTAAAAATATATTAAGATGTTTACAAAGCTCAAATTCTAAAATACGGGAATTTAAACTTACGAAAGAAACCCTGAGAGGAAACTTTGGTATCCCTCAGATTTAACTTCTGAATTGTTTGCTTATCTATATTCCTTCCAAAGGGATTTTATGTTATTTCTACAAACATAAAAAGTTCTGGACATGGCCAGTTATACATGCAAGTAAATAAACTTTACAAAAGACCCATGTTAATTTTAGAAAGAATAACATGATAAAGGTGCTGGGCTACAATTGTTAACTTCACTGCTTTAATATCATGAAATACAAGTACAAAACACTGTACAAGTATACTCTTTGCTACAGGGACATGGAATAATACCTTTGTGTTTTTACCAGAACTCTGTATCACCCAGCACTAGCCACTGTACCAATGGCTTTCCACAGGGATTTTCTACCACTCTTACGAAGTTTTACCATGAATAAAAAATCTCCCAACTCTTTTAAACCACTGCAGATTTATATTTATCTTCATATTCCTGTCTTGCTGCTTCAGGCAAGAGTTTTCAGTAGGTAATTTTGTTATTTCATGTTGGCCAAGATCTCCTTTATGTTGGCATTGCAAAGGCTCTGTGTACTTTTATCGGGTTAGAAAAGGTGTCCTCTCAATAGCCCTCTTACTATTTAGGAATGCAAACTGCCATTTCCTTAAAAGTACAGAATATTACATAGTTATTAACTAAGCAGTAATTCATGAAACTCCATTTACAAAGGACAAACAACAACAACAGAGGACCATAAAGCCCTACGTGTACTAAAGAAAAACAAATTTTCAAATATTTCAACTGTTTTTTCTACCTCTAAACTGATTTAACCGTATCACAAGTGAGAGTTAACACCAGCCAATACAGAAAAAGTAAACTGTGCTGAACTGTCCAGAAATCAGCTTCTATAATATATCTCACAGTTTCTAGCCATTTTGGCTAAGACTTTCCTTATGAAAAACAAACAAACAAACAAACAAAAATGATGAAAGCAGCATTTACTTTGTTGGAAATGCAAAAAATAAAATAACAACACTGTAAGTTTCATAAAATATTTGCAACTAATTTTGTTTTTATAAATAAATAAAGTGGTGCTTATCTGTTTTTAAAGTTTTAATTATTCTTGCTGTTAAAAATCATTTAAAGTTATGTCAACTTTTAAGCATAAACATGTTTGGAAAACTGAACCACATTTTTAACTGCAATCTTTATGCTTTGTTCTTGGTAGAATCATCTTTGTTTCTTCTCTTAACATCCCAATTATAAACTCTGGCCATATCTGCAAGAATTGTCAAAGAAAATGCCAAAGCAATTCGAAAGATAACGTGCAATCACACACTGAATGAAAGACAGAAATCACACACACAAAGTACTAGTGGCTACAGCAAGGTGTAGTATGTCTGCCAAGGAAAGCCTGAAACAAAATTCCACCAAAACCTAGTCAAGACCTCAAATCAATGACTGTTTAGCATAGCTAGGTCAACTATAGTATTATATTTGACACATGTGTGTTTGACACTCTCCCAACAGTTTTCAAGAGAGACCCTCATCCACAATATTTTGAAGGTGGTTCAAAGTATACCCTGACATGCAATATTTAAATTATTACAATTTAATTATCACTAATTTTCTCTCTCACCCTGTTTGGCTTAATTTATGCAATCTATTCAGCATCTATATCTTTTCCTTTCCACAAGTTCCACCCTGCATAGGCCTTCACCTATTGGTGCTCTCTTTCCCGGCTCATGCCTTCGTTGGTGTGTCCTGAAGGTACAATATTATCTTCTAGGTATTTTATCTTTTTTTTTTACCCCTGAATGAAGTCTCCACATTACCAGTCATGTGCTAACCCCTGTTCTAGGCCTCAGACAGACCTTCACCCAACCCCTTAAAACCTGTCATGCGCTACATGCTATGGAGGAGAGAAAATGTGGAGCTCCTACACTTGAAGAGCTCCCAGTCTATCATGAAAAACAAATTTTAAGTACTATGTGCAAAGTGCTCAGGAATCACAGAGGAGCAACACAACACCCTGAGAGGACTAGAAAATGTTCAGAAATGTTCTGCTGCTTGAGCTGAAAGACGAAAGGTAAGATGGAGGAACCCAAGCAAATAGGGGGAAATCAGTCTAGGTAGAAGGAACCAAGTGTGGATATACAAAGGGCACGCCCTATTTAGGGGGTGAGGAAAACCACCTGGGGTGATTTGGACCTTGGGCGCACCAGGGGAGGAGCAGGGCAGGAAATCAGTCAGTGGCACATGGAATCGAGACTGGCAAGGACCACCCCCCAGAGTGCTCATGTGCATAGCTGACATGTAACAAAGAACCACTGAGGCATTATAGCCAGAGGAATAAAAATAGCTCAGTGAATTCACAGCAGAGAGAGTGTGAAGGACTGGGGTGGGGGAAACAGAGTAGAAAACTGCCATATGACCCAGCAATCCCACTGCTGGGCATACACACTGAGGAAACCAGAATTAAAGAGACACATGTACCTCAATGTTCATCACAGCACCATTTTACAATAGCCAGGGCATGGAAGCAACCTAGATGTCCATCCTTAGATGAATGGATAAGAAAGCTGTGGTATATATACACAATGGAGTATTACTCAGCTATTAAAAAGAATTCATTTGAATCAGTTCTAATGAGGTAGATGAAACTGGAGCCTACTGTACAGACTGAAGTCAGTCAGAAAAATACCAATACAGTATATTAATGCATATATATGGAATTTAGAAAGATGGTAACGATGACCCTAGCAAAAGAGACACAGATGTAAAGAATAGACTTTTGGACTCTGTGGGAGAAGGCGAGGGTGGGATAATTTGAGAGAATAGCATTGAATCATGTATATTATAATATTTGAAACAGATCGCCAGCCCATGTTTGATGCATGAAGCAGGGTGCTCAGGGCTGGTGCACTGGGATGACCCTGAGGGATTGGATGGGGAGGGAGGGTCAGGATGGGGAACACATGTAAACCCATGACTGATTCATGTGAATGTATGGCAAAAACCACCACACTATTGTAAAATAATTAACCTCCAATTAAATAAATAAGAAAACTACTGACCCTCGGTTATTAAAGGCCAAAATGAGTGTAACAGAGAGGTAAGAAGATTGACTCCCAGGTTTCTGTTTCGAATGACTGTGTGGGGCCAATGATTCTGACAATTAGGAGACACAGGTCAGAGGGAAAACGCCAAGAGCTGGGTTTCAACATGACAGCCTTCCCTTTTTCTCTGCTAAAAGAAATCCTACACTACCTTTAACTACAGTCTCAGGCCTATCTTCTCAAAGACTGTTCTGAACTCACACTAGCTCACATCTATCACTCTAATTTTAAATTGCCTTGGTGTTGACTACCTGAAATTGACTTCTATTTTGCTATGAAATGATCACTAGCTGTCTCACATGTGCTTTGTCATTCTTTTTTTACACTGATCTCACCAGCGCATGCCCCACATAGCTTAGCACAGTTGTAGGAACACAAGAGACCCTTAATAAAGAGTTGTGGAACTCTAGTACTTATCTAGCTATAAAGATTATCTTGAGAAAATATCTGAAATAGAAATACGCATGTACTAAATTGAATTTGCTATTTCCACACTTTCACACCTCAAATTCAGATCTATAAACTTATTTCAGCACTAGTTCTAAAATGTCATTTACTACTCTTATAAAATCTGCAACTTAACATTAGTCTAAGAATAAGGACATTCTTCTCATTAAAGCAATGCACATAAGAACATAAAAAACATTTTTCTCCTGTCCCCCCTTTGCCTTTCATTAGGAAAGGATACTGACTTCCGTGGTAGTAAACTGATCTCGAAGGAAGTCGAGGTCTTCCTCAAGAGAATCAAGATTCTTTGTGGCTGTCAATAAATTCTTTTCCAACAACGCCTGAGCTTCATCAATATCATATTCAAGCATTACGTTCGCCTGCAGAGAGAAAAGCGTGACAATGAGCAAACACTGACTTTGTGCTCTGTAGGTTAGAGCAGTGGTTGGCAAACTACAGCCTTTGGGTCAAATCTGGCCAACCGTTTCTTGTCTCAAGTTTTTTGGAAACACAGCAACTCTTTATTCACTTAAGACTTACATCCCGCAGTGGTGAGCCAAGTACTAGTTGTGGCAGAGACCATGTGGTCTGCAACACCAAAAATATTTACTCTCTGGCTTTTCACACAATATTTATTGCCCCCTGAGTTACAGAATATATTTACATACATTATATCATTTCCTCCTCAACTTCTCTACAGTGAAGAAAATAGGCTCTGAGAAGTCAGCTTACCTATGATTTCAAAGATACTAAATAAATCGAAGATTAGGATAGGAACCAGTATCTTTAGTTATCAAACCCTATCTTTCTACCACCTCTATCGGGACACTAAATAGTAATACATTTGAATCAACTGAAGTAGTTGTTTCTGAGCTTAAGGTAGAACTTTAAAGCTTTCAAAGACATATGTATTATCTGCATTTGGTCCATTAAGAGAAAACAACTAGCTTTAACTGTCCCCTTCCAAATTCCAACAGATGCCAGAGGCGAAGGCAAGGTGACTAGCTCTGGATCTAAGATCTGGAGTAACTGCTGACACTTGGGAAGGCATGCACTCTGTAATGGGGAGCCGTACCTTTCACAGCTCTGAACTATCACCTGACTTACCACCAGGCATTTCCGGAACCACTTTCCTCACATGACAAATGGAATTTAAAAATTACTCAAAGGATTAAGAATTAATGAGACAACATGAAAGGACTTAGCACCAAGCAGATGCCACATACTTATTGACTGAATATGCCAGTCCATGATAATTGGAAGTGAGTGAATGAAAGCCGCTCAGTCGTGTCCGACTCTTTGCAATGCCATGGACATGGATTTCTCCAGGCCAGAATACTGGAGTGGGCAGCCTTTCCCTTCTCTAGGGGATCTTCCCGACCCAGGGATCACACCCAGGTCTCCCGCATTGCAGGCGGATTCTTTACCAGCTGAGCCACAAGGGAAGCCCTTGTGAGAATTAGAAAGCTGCATAAAAATTCAGACAGGACTAAAATATTCAGTGCAAAGTAAATGCTTCTCCAAACACAGACTCCCAATCTCACTTCTCAATTACTGATACTTATTAGCACTTTTTTCCCCCAGAAAATGTCTACACTTTGCTTACCTGTAACAAGAGAAAATAGAATACATTTTAAAACACTTCATTCCTGTCAAAAACCATCAATCATTCATTCAAGTATATCTCCTTAGTTGGTTCACTCCTCAAACACTGCCTTATCAGCCTCTCTACTTGACAGTCTAACAGGCATCTGAAGACTGACATGCCCAAAAGACAACCTCCAAGTCGTCCTGCAAACATGTTAGTGCTTTCCGTGCAATATGAGTCACATGTATTTTTTCTCATTGTCTTTTTACTTTGCTCATGATTTCCGAGTTTTGTGGCCTGAAAAACCATCCTTATTCCAGGGCTACAATTATCTGTGACTTGGTCTAGAACTTTGATGGTGTCACTAGTTCACGTCATTACATGATCCATTTGGAATCCATCTCATATAAGGTGGGCTCCAGCCATAATTCTCAGGAAGAGTGCTCCCTGTTGTCCCAGTCTACTTTATGGAATCATCTTATCCCCACGTGCTGATTAAGTGTGGGCCAAGGAGAAAAGAAACCAAAGAGGATAACCCCTAAGATCTGAGCTACTGAGTGGCTAGCTGTTCCATTTATAAAACTAAAACTAAACAAGAATGGGAATTATGTTTGTAGAAATAAATGCATAAACTCTGAAATGTTATAGCTAACAGAAATCAGGAAGGAGGAACTAACAGATAAAGTGAGTTTCCATGTATGAATCTGCCAACGTTTCATGGCCCTAGAGTGCTTCTCAGGGATGACTGTGCAGGTTAACAGCGAGTGGAAATCCTCCCAATTTGCAACTTTGCATAGGAACTTGCCTGAGTTAGCAAGACCTACCTGTGTGGTCAGGCATGACTTGGTTGATCATGGGACTCAAGAGTAGTAACAGGAAAAATCACAGACAAGGTCTCTCAAATCATCACAACTGAAATGTATGACTCTTTCAAATGGGTTCTAACTGCAAGATTTTTATAATAATCTTTCCCCCCTTAAGTTCAGAGATATCTTTCTAGAACTCATAAACTCTGATGATGAACAAACATCTATCTGAGGTTTGACAATAACTTCTGTTACATTTAACAGATAAAGTGCTAGCTGGAGGGAAAGCTGCATTTTGGTCCATTTTGTTGACCGGAAGAGACTCAAGCATGTTTCTGTGGCAATCTTTCTCGTACTCCTAGTCCCCTGCAATGCTACCCCTTCATTCTGTCCATGGTCAAGTGCTCCTCTTCAATACTGCCATGCTGGGGAAAACACACTGCCTTACCAAATGTCAGCCAAGGAAGCTGTGGCAATGACATTGACTTACCCCCAACCACAGACACACTTTATCGGTAGGAGGAACTGAAGCTTTGCAATACAGGTTATCTGCCAGTAAGAACCTGGTCTCCAGTGAACTGGTGGATTCCTTCAAAAAAAAATAAATAAATACATGACGGTACTGTAAACTGTCCATCTTAATACCAAGGTCATACAGGCGATTGCAGAGCTGAGCTTAAGCCATTTAAAGCAGTCCCACCCCACAGACAAATCAGGTGGAAGACCCGAGGGACAGAGAGGTAAAGGAGAAGGGTAAAGAAAGGACCACAGGGGCCACAGGACTGAGCAGGGAGCACATGCATCCTGACTCAGCAACTTAATGCACCCCTGAAGGCTGTGGCAAACAGCACTTGCATGAACCAAACACACACACTTCAGTGCCTGGCACAGAGTAAGCACTGGACAAGCATGATCTATTATTATCACTTCATCAGCACTTCATGCTCAACCAACCAGTCTTCTGAAGTCTCTTATAAAGTTTGTGACAAAAAAACGGTCTCGAAATGTAGCTACTCTGCCAGTCAAGTAATAAATCATGTATATATACATACATATAATATGTTAAATATTTTCTGAAACTTCATTTTTATACCCTGCTTTTATTTAACAAAAAAATGGGTGAGAACTCAGAAGATTCTCAAATCCAGTTCTGCCAGTAACTAGCTATGTGACACTGGTCAAGTGTACCCTCTTTGTAAATATTTCCTCAACTGTGAACTGAGAGCCACAAACAATAAAGACTATTCATTTCTTTTTGCATTTAAAATAATTTCAAGTTGCATTTAAGCTTCACAAATACTACATATAAGTAAAAGACCCCAAGTAGTGTGGGCCCTAGAATTAAATCTGACTTTGGTGTAAAGCCACACGTTTCACAGAAGCACACCGTCTGTGATATCACTACATGTGCTCAGAAAGGCAGACTGGATCTTCTAGCACAGGTTCAAATACCAGTGACCAAGGAGTCAAGGAACACGTGTCTCTGCTGAACTATCCTGGTTTGCTCATGTTTATAAACAAAAAAGACACTTACTTTTTTCTTCTGCATATATTTTAGAATTTCTAAAGTCTGCTTAATTTCAGGAATCTGGCCTTTTAGCCTGTGAATAAGAAAAAGGTTAATTTAGTATCCGGCACCAAGAAACAGTCTTACTAGCTTTATACTTTCTATTGACATGTTTTGAGGACAATACGTAAATATGAAATAGTAAATATATTTTATATGTAAGATATTTAATGAAGTGTTTATTAAAATATCTAAGATATTTCAGACATAAATATTTACTAAACTGCTTAGATATAATAGCAAATACTTATGGAACACCTATTGTGCACAGAGTCCTGTTCTATATGTCAAATCCTCCATTAGTAAACTTTTCTGGGCTGTGTGTGCTTAGTCGCTTAGTCGTGTCTAACTCTTTGTGACCCCATGGACTGTAACCTGCCAGCCTCCTCTGTCCATTGGGATTCTCCAGGCAATAACAGAGTGGGTTGTCATGCCCTCCTCCAGGGGATCTTCCTGAATAAGGGATTGAACCCAGGTCTCCCGCACTGCAGGCAGATTCTTTACCAGCTGAGCCACCAGAAAGTCATATCCCCCAGAGGTGATTAAGAGGTTCTACATTTAATTAGAATTGCATTTTAAATAATTATTTTTTAAAATAACATGCATTCAAGTATTATATTCTCAACTGGAAACCACCAATTCAGCAGCAGCAAGTGCAGGGACAGCTTCTCAGTGCCTGCACTTCTCACAGTGCAAAATCAACTGAATAACACAGTAAGATACAGTATAATTTCATGATTCTTTTAAGCTTTGGTGATTTTTCTTTAACTTTTATGTTGAAAAATACTATTTTCTTTTCAAGTTAGGTAATAATTGTTACTAAAATTATAAATGGATCATTGGTTTGAACACAGGAAATTTATGAAAACAATGATAGACATGATGAGACTGATCAGACTGAACCAACTGGACATCCACACATAAAAAACTGATTCTAAACACAGACATACATACACATTTCACAAAACTTAAGTTGAGATGAATCACATATGTAAAGTATGATGCAAAACTATAATGCTCCTAGAAGATAACACAGGAAAAAACCTAGATGACCTTGGGTCTGGTAATGATATTTTATATATAATACCAAAGACATAATCCATAAAAGAAATAATTGATATGACAGACTTTAATGAAAAGACAAGCCACAGACTGGGATAAGATATCTGCAAAAGACACATGTGATAAAGGACTGGTATCCAAAATACAAACAGAACTTTCAAAACTCAACAATAAGGAACAACTGTATTAAAAAATGGACCAAAGGACTTAACAGATACCCTACCAAAGAAGATATACAAATGGCAAATAAGCATATGAAAAGATGCTCCACATCATATATCATCAGTATCAGTATCAGTTCAGTCACTCAGTCGTGTCCGACTCTGTGACCCCATGAACCGCAGCATGCCAGGCCTCCCTATCCATCAACAGAGAAATGCAAATTTAAACAATGACATAACCACTGCAAAACTATTCTGGGCTTCCCAGGTGGCGCTAGTGGTAAAGAATCTGCCTGCCAATGCAGGAGATGCGTGTTTGATCCCTGGGTCAGGACGATCTCTTGGAGGCGGGCATGGCCAGCCACTCCAATACTCTTGCCTGGAGAATCCAATGGACAGAGGAGCCTGGTGGGCTACACTCCATGGGATTGCAAAGAGTCAGCCATGACTGAGCCACTGAGCACACACACACCTGTTACAATGGCCAAAATCCAGAATACTGACAACTCTGGATGCTGGTGAGGATATGAAGCAACGTTAATTTTCATTCATTGCTGGAGGGAATGCAACATGGTACAGTCACTTTAGAAGACAGTTTGTCAGGTTCTTACAAAACTAAACACATTCTTGCCATACGATCCAGCAATCATGCTCCTTGGTATTTATCCAAAGGAGCTGGAAACTCAGGTCCAAACAAAAATTGCACACAAATGATTATAGAAGCTTTATTCATAATTGCCCAAACTTGGAAGCAACCCAGATGCCCTTGGTAGGCAAACAGAGAAATAAATTGTGGTCCATCTGGACAATGGAATAATATTCACTGCTAAAAAGAAATGATCTATCAAGCTATGAAAGACATGCAAGAAGCCTAAATGCATATGATGAAATGAAAGAAACCAACCTGAAAGGGCTACTACATACTATAGGATTCTGGCTGTAAGACATTCTGGAAAACACAAAACTATGGAGACAGTAAAAGCATCACTGGTTGCCAGGGGTTTAGGAAGGGGAGGGAGGGATGAATATATGGCACACAGAGCATTCTTACTGCAGTGAACCTACTCTGTATGACACTATGATGACAGATACATGTCATGGTGCATGTGTTCAAATCCATCAAATGTACAACGTAAGAGTGGACACTAATGTAAACTATGGACCTTAGTTAATAAGAACATATCAATATTGGTTCATCAACTGTAACAAATGTTCCACTCTGGTGAAAGGTATAGATAATGGGAAGGTTATACATGTGTAGGGGCAGGGGCTAAATAGGAAACCCCTGTACTTTATGCTCCATTTTGCTACAAAACTAAAACTGCCTTTAAAAATAAAGCCTACTCAATTTTAAAAAACTAGTAGCAACTGATTCCCAAATGAAGTCACTCTCACTGACAAGAGGTAACAATATGCTGAAAACACTCAAAGCCAACTCAGAGAATACAGAATGAGACCTTTTTAGCTCTTTTATTTTTGATGATTAGAAGCGGCCCAAGGCTTTCAGTGTTTCACGTGGAAAAATGTGCAAAACTATTCTGGGAGTCCTGTCAAATCACAGTGTAATTTGTAACCAAATGGACTAAACACGGACTAAAAATAAAGCTGTGGAACTTTCAGAAGACATGCAACTAAATATTATTAGAGATTAGCATGCAAATAAATTCAAAGTATGATAATGAACATGTACTTCCTGAATCATATAAAGAAAGTCACAGTACATGTGAACGAGGTTAGCACGGCAAACTTTACAATCTGTGCTACTGACCTGGGAAATGTGTTACAAAAGCCTGCTGCTTGAAAAATAGTATCACTATCTGGCAAGACAACCCAGTGAAGAGTCAAGAAACACACACTTAGCATTGATTTTTTTGTAAGCATAGCTTGAAGGCTAGTGTTCTGTGAACTCTGTACAATTCAATACAGATGTCATAGATCTCTCAATTTTGCTTCTCTTTGTCTATGCCGATATACGTAAATGCGAGAAAGATGTAGGTGTGTTCATGTGTATAGTATCTGATAGACATGTAACATTAGTATGTTCAGATCAAATTGTTTAGGTCATACAAATGATTTCTATGTTATATTGTTGTACATGTAGATATTACATGTAATATATAGGTTATGAAGCATAGCAATCAATCAAGAAGCTGCAACTCTGGACATCTCAGGAACTAGACCACCAAAGCCACTGCCCATGTCTGAGCAATACACCCTCCCCACCCTTGTGTCTGACTCCCCACAACCACATGGACTGCAGCACACCAGGCTTCTCTGTCCTTCTATCTCCCAGAGTTTGTTCAGACTCATGTCCAGTGAGTCAGTGATGCCATCTAACCATCTTATCCCCTATTCTTCTACTCTCAATCTTTCCCAGCATCAGTGTCTTTTCCAATGAGTTGGCTTTTCATATCAGGTGGCCAAAGGATTGGAGCTTCAGCTTCAGCATCAGTCCTTCCCATGAAAATTCAGGGTTCATTTCCTTCAGGATGGACTGGTTTGATCTCCTTGCTGTCCAAGGGACTCCTAAGAGTCTCCTACAGCATCACAATTTGAAAGCATCAATTCTTTGTTGCTCAGCCATCTTTATGGACCAATTCTCACATCCATATATGACTACTGGCAAAACTACTGACATCACTGGAAAAGTGATGTCTCTGCTTTTTAATATGCTGTCTAGGTTTCTCACAGTTTTTCTTCCAAGGAGCAAGTGTCTTTTAATTGTGTGGCCACAGTCACCATCCACAGTGATTTTAGAGCCCGAGAAGATAAAATCTACCACTGTTTTCACTATTTCCCCATCTATTTGCCATGAAGTGATGGGACCGGATGCCATGATCTTAGCTTTCTGAATGGTGAGTTGTAAGTCATTTTCATTCTCCTCTTTCACGCTCATCAAGAGACTCTTCAGTGCCTCTTTGCTTTCTGCCATTAGAGTGTGGCACCTGCATATCTGAGGTTGTTATTTCTCCAGGCATTCTTGATTCCAGCTTGTGAGTCATCCAGCCTGGCATTTTGCATGTACTCTACATAGAAGCTAAATAAGCAGCGTGACAATATACAGCCTTGTCATACTCTTTTACCAATTTTGAACAAGTCTGTTGTTCCACATCCGGTTCTAACTGTTTCTTCTTGACCTGCATACAGGTTTCTCAGGAGACAGGTAAGATGGTCTGGTATTCCCATCTCTTTATTTTCCAGTTTGTTGTGATCCACACAGTCAAAAGCTTTAGCATAGTCAATTTCACAGAAGTAGATGTTTTTTCTGAATTCTCTTGCTTTTTCTATGATCCAACAGATGCTGGCAATTTGATCTCTGGTTCCTCCCCATCCTGCTCTGTCCCAAAAAATAGCAGCTCTCCTGAACTGTGTGTTTATAGTCCCATTTTTACTACTTCAAATAGTTTCATTAGTTACGTGTATTCCAAAACAATATATTCTTTGCTAGTTTCTTGATACAAATGGGCTCATGTTAGTTGCATTTTCCTGGTGTTTGCTTTATAACCCAAGCAAATTCCAAAGAGTTGTTCATCTGTTTTCACTGCTGTGTAATATACATTTACAAATATAACACAACCTGTTCATCCATTCTCCTGTCAATGGACATTTGGGTCAGTTCTAGGTCTTTGTTATTCTATGAACAATGAAAATTTCTAGATGAGAGGAGAGAAAGAAGGGAACTAGAAGGGAACTAGATGAAGTCTTCAAAGGGAGGAGCATTTAAGGCTAAAGGGCAAATTTCTAGTTGTTTTTCCTCCCTCTAAATTGCCCTGTGTGAATCACATTACCTACCCCATGACTGTAACAGGGC